ATAAAGGTAAATTTGATTAAGGTTTATTACACTTAAACATTACCGTTTTTGAAATATTTTCAATTTTGTGAAATTGCAGTATAAATTTTAAGGCAAAATTTTTTCTTATTTCTCCGAGGGTATCAAAGTTTTTAATACTAAATATTTACTGAAGTTTATTTATTGATCAGTAATTGTGTTGCAATAATAAAAATTCTACTACCTTATACAGAGTGTCTAAAAATTTATTTTAAATAATTACTAGCTTTAAACGGCAATAACTTGTTTAATTTAAATGGAACACCCTGTATATTTTATGATAATCAGATGCACAATTTAATTGTCTATCAAATTGTATTATACCACTTTTTACCTATCCCTTCAAGTTTTTGTAGAAAATGCATTTTCTTATAATTTAGACATCATTTATCAATATACCCATGGAATATTGACATTTTAGATTGTTTTTAAAACAACAAATGTACTGGCTAGTAATATTATCGTTTTTAGTAAAACGATAATATTACTATTCCATTTGTATGCAAAAAGAAAACTATTTAAATCTATGCTTAGTTTCGGAGATACAGGGTGTAGAAGTTTAATTTTTCTTTCGATTTTTTCCAAATAATTTCTGAAGTAACCTCAATATTTTGATGAAAATTGGTGTCTGGGATTTCTTTAAGATGAAAAAATTGATTTTGATGTCAATATGACTCCTAATTGTAGAGGGCGCCATCTACATACATATTTTTAACTGGTTTAAAGAGTAATAACTTTTTGTCCGTACCTGTATAAAACTACTGAGTAAAAAATATACATTTACGACGCTTTTTACGTAAAAAAGATATCTTGGTAAAAATCGCTACGAGTAATGGTTCTCGAGATATTTGGAATTGTAATTATCAATACCTGTCATCATTGACATAAATTAAATATGTTGACTAAATAGTTATTAAACTGAAATCATAAATTTGACGTCTTTTTGTGCCAAAAGTTCAACAGAAACTGTTCTATCGTTATTTTTTCACAGAAAAATTTATGATTATTCGAAAAATCGAAATAAAAATGAAACTTCTACACCCTGTATCTCCGAAACTAAGCATTTTAGGATATACAGGGTGTCTCAGATTTTAATCGGGAAAATTTAATAGACGATAGAACTTGCAAAAATAAAACAAAAAGTTCATATCAACTTGTAAAATTTAAAGCTTCCTTTTCAAGATACAGGGTACCATTAGAATACTAATTTAAATATTAATTACCAATTAGAATTTATTTTTTTTCGCAAGAAGTAAGCAAGATAGACAAAAAAGTTAGGGACAAAAAAATAGTATTTTTAATTACTAAATCCAAAAATAATATTAAACTTCTAAAAAAGCAGTGGCGTGCCTATTTTTTCCTTTAAAATAATTTAACAGTAATGCCCCACCGCCGCCCCTGGCAAAATCTAATTACATCAAATTAAGTCCCATAGTAAGTATTATAAACGAGTCAAGTTATATCAAAATCGATTAAATAGTTTTTCAAATATCTTAATTTTTTTTTCTTTTTTAAGTAACTTTAACACCCTGTATCTCGAAAAGGAAGCTTTAAATCTTACAAGTTGATATGAACTTTTTCTTTTATTTTTGCAAGTTCTATCGTCTATTAAATTTTCCCGATTAAAATCTGAGACACCCTGTATATTTACACGAATTACTTATTTTTATCTGCAGAATATGCTGCCGAAGTTTCCGGAATACAGTTTGGACCACCCTGTATATTATGCTTGTGGTTTGTGCTTTGGATATTCTAACTAAAAGGGAAGTATCAGGAAGTATATATATTTCCGTCGTCCGAAGCAAAAAAAACGAAAAGAACAAAAAAAACTATTTAACAAATCTAAGTACAGGTTTTTTTAACAGATATGTCTATTAAAAACCGTTGACGTTCTGTTAAAACGACATTATATCAAGTTAAACTTCAAAATTAATAAAACCAAAAAGCTTTAATTTTAACTTATGTTTATTTATGTTATGTTTATTAAAGTCAAAGAAACGATAGCCATATATTACTAACATCTACAGATGCCTGAGCAATACATTATTTACACTCTATTAAAAAAGCCTGTTTTTGCTTTTTCGTTTTTTTTCTTGTTTTTGTTTAAGTGTTCTTGAATAGTTGTATTTAGATGCTTTAAATAGTTTTTTCTTTGTTCTTTGTGCTTTTTTGCTTTAGACGACGGGAAGATATATTTCCCGAAGGCATTTTTTATCTATTTCTGAGTTGTAGACGACCGCGACGGCGGCTTTCCTACTTACTAACGCCTTTTTAGCTTTCTCTGAAAATCTTGAAACACTTTTATTCAATTTTATCATTTAAAATTAAAATATTTTGTTTATTATCTTCTTGTTCAATTTTCTGTTCTCCTCATTTATCATCTTATATTTCCGTCGTCCGAAGCAAAAAAAGGTAAGAACAAAAAAAAACTATTTAACAAATCTAAGTACAGGTTTTTTTAACAGATATGTCTATTAAAAACCGTTGACGTTCTGTTAAAATGACATTATATCAAGTTAAACTTCAAAATTAATAAAACCAAAAAGCTTTAATTTTAACTTATGTTTATTTATTTGTGTTTAAAAGTCAAAGAAATGATAGCCATACATTACTAACATCTAGAGATGCCTGAGCAATACATTATTTACACTCTATTAAAAATGCCTGTTTTTGCTTTTTCGTTTTTTTTTCTTGTTTTTGTTTAAGTGTTCTTGAATAGTTGTATTTAGATGTTTTAAATAGTTTTTTCTTTGTTCTTTGTGCTTTTTTGCTTTAGACGACGGGAAGATATATTTCCCGAAGGCATTTTTTATCTATTTCTGAGTTGTAGACGACCGCGACGGCGGCTTTCCTACTAACGCCTTTTTAGCTTTGTCTCAAAATCTTGAAACACTTTTATTCAATTTTATCATTCAAAATTAAAATATTTTGTTTATTATCTTTTTGTTCAATTTTCAGTTCTCTTCATTTATCATCTTACGAAATATCGCGCTACCATAAATCATAAATATATTAACGAGACTAAATAAGAAGAGATAGACCCTAATAACTGCCTAACAAACGATTAAGAATAAGCAAAAGAGGCCGGAGAGATTAATAAATCGACCTTTAATTCTTGTAGGCTTGCGAATAGAGAAATTCGGTCTGGTGAAATTATTCCAGAAAGTTCTCGTTTTCACTCCCCCCTATCTATTATGCGAACCGGTTATGCTACTTTTGGGAAAGTGTGTTTCACTATAAGATGACACGTAAATTTTAATTATGGAAGACAATGAGGTTATCACGTAGATTTCAATTAAGCCCAGAGCGCCTATAAGATTTATGACGATCAAATTTGGTAAACGCGTTATTAAATTTGTGTCTTGAGAAAACAAAGTTTCTGTGCTTAAATTACTTTTTTGAAATTGTTAATAATATAGCGTACGAAAAAAAATTGTGTGTGCACTATGTGCGCATATTTGAAGTGTAACTTCTTACTAACAGTTATTAAATTGAAGGATATATATTTTTTCTGAATGCTTTTTACAAACCGTATACTATACTAGCTTTCTAGCTATTTCTAGCTTTATAATTTTATAATGTTTTTTTTTAATTTCTATTAAAAAAGAGCACACACAGAAATATAATTACTATTATATTTATACTAACTAACGGTTTCCTAATCCTTTATCTAGACATAAGGGTGCAAACAAAATTAATTTTAAATGCTACCCTGAAATTTATCTCGTCTTAAGCTTAAAGATAGGTAACTACAATGGCAATTCCCCGAAATATTCCGTTCCTAGCGAATACAAAGGTCCCATTTGCATTCCAACCGTTTGCATTGTGCCGGTGTCATCTGGTTTTTCGGCGACGTCTTATTTTGCACCGGGCGCAAGGCGTTGTGCGTGATCTGATATCTTCGCCTTTGTAAATGCCGGTGTAAAGGGTTTTGATATTGTCAGCGTAGGCAAAACGTGGAGCAGGAGAAATGGGATAAGAAGCTAATGAACGATCCTGTTGTTATACAGGGTGAAATACACTTTACCTATCGTAGTCAGAACTTTTGCTCAAGTTCTGTTTCTCAACTACTGATAAATATGCCTTCCCAGTGTGGTGTAGATCTGCCCATGCAAAAAAGGTAAATATTAACCTGAATGAAACATGCAGAATAGTGACAGGTTGTATGAAACCCACCCCCTTAGAAAACCTTTACAAGGCCGCAGGTTTTACAAGCCCCGATTTACGCAGAAAAGCTCATGAACATACTGAGACGCTAAAACAAACCTTTGATGTTCGTCATTTTTTGTTAACGAGTTATGAAATTCGTAAGAAAAAAAAATCTGACAGGTATTCGTAGCGATTTTTACCAAGAGACCCTTTTTATGTAAAAAACGTCGTAAATGTTAAATTTTTTTCAAAATCAAATTTCTCACGTCAAAAAACTCCCAAACACCAATTTTCATGCAACTATTGACGATTTATACTAAAAAAAAGAAAAAATCGAAATAAAAATGAAGCTTCTCACCCTGTATCTCCGAAACTAAGCATTTTAGTACATACATTTATACGAACTTTTTTTATTTATTTTTATCTGCAGAATATGCTGCCGAAATTTCCGGAATACAGTTCGTACCACCATATATAACGAGAAAACCTGATGTGGATCCATAGACTTAAAATAAAATATAGACTGAGCATCTCATTCATAAATAGCTGTAACATGCGGTCAGACAATGTCTTGTTATTGTTGTGTTATTGTTTTAGGTTATAACGAGTGCGACACGAGCGATAGATAGGTTGTCTCTGTCGTAACGGTCGTTCCCTGACGACTCTGCCGAGAAACACAATATTTAGTTCTAATAGTTTTTCAGAGGTGGCGTAAGTGTCACTATAGTTCAATGTAAATCGTTACTAAAAGCCCGATCGATAGTGGCACATTATTCAGTACGCCCCCAACTTTCGAAAGGAAATTATCGCTCCGTGCCGACGATAGTGGCATTTCTGTGTTGTGCCGGTATAGCAGGAGTTTTGTGAACGATTTTATTTTTGATGTACTAAGAATAGTGACACATTTTGACTTATGCCAGTATAGGTTAAACATTTTAATTTATATTTTCCGTTGTGTCAATATTGCTTGAACTTTTCACTTAAATTTTTGGGTTGTGCCAATATAAAATAAACTTTGTTGCTCAAATTACTAGTCTGTGCCACTACAGAAGGCTTGTTAACTTTATTGAATTATTTTGCATCATGAATAATAATTTAAAGGGCTCTCGTGGTCAGAAGATGGTCGATATGATCAAATTAAGGTAACGCATGCACAGAAATACTTGTAACTTCTTGTTTTATTAATTTGACCAATTTATAGGTTGCAAAAAGATTCTACTAATGAAAATCGATCAGAATGGAATATAGTTAGTCCAACTACAGCACATAAGGATCTAAATGATGTAACTTACACGGTTTCTAGTTTTAATTCTGAAGGTAACATAATATTTATGCATTTGAAAAAAATCCTGACATCTTTATAATAAGGGTATTTTAAAGAACATTCTCGAGATGTCTTAGAAGAATCGTTAGGAACTGGAACAATGCTGAAAAAGATAGAGATACCATCAGTGGACAACGAGGTTGTAGTGTCAGAATACACTCACACAGACGATGAACCACAGGATCTAAATCAAAACTACAAAAAATGTTTGGCACTTAAACAGTCTAGAGAATCTAAAGGTATTACAAATAATAATTTATTATTGTCTGTGTACAATAGTTTAATTTTTAGAAAACATTGCAAATATCGAGAACGTAGAGCCAGAATCGTCAAATAGTTCCCGCGAAGAAGCGCCATATTCGTCAGATGACTCAATTCGAGATCCTAATTATTCTGATGATTCATCTTCAAACTCTTCAGAGGCTGAGTCAGATATGTCACATGTAACCGCTGAGACAATTCAAGAGAAAAAAAAGACCAGAAAAAGAAAAGCGGAGCCATCAACGTGGAAAAAAAATTGTGCAAAGCGGTTAAGAAATAGCGGAAAATCTTATAAAACTTTGGTAAAAGGAAACGAAATACCGGAAAGGAAAATACAACCCGCCTGCAATGAGAAGTGTAAACAAAACTGCAGTAGAAAGTTTACCGAAGAAGAAAGGCTAAAGATATTTAAAAATTATTGGGACATGTCAGATATCGTAAAGCAACGCACGTACTTATTGACTCTCATGCAAGAGGTTAATCCTAAATATAGGTATCCTGTTCAAGGTGGCCATGGCGTCAGGGCCACAAATCACGCATTTTATTTTTATAAAAATGATCAAAAAAAAAGAGTATGCAAAACATTTTTTATTGCAACACTGGGTATTACTAACCGGTGCATACGTACAGTGAAATCTAAGATTAAGAATGGTACCTTGGGACAGGATAACAGAGGAAAACATGCTAATCACAAACAAGTTCCTGAAGATATAAAAGATGGTATTCGCGCCCATATTTCATCAATTCCTGCAATCGAAAGTCACTATACACGAGCTCACACGGAAAAGACTTTCATTGAAGGAAGTAAAACAATTGCCCAGCTGTATCGGGACTATAAAATAGATTGTGTTGCCCAAGGAAAACCTCACGGAAATTTAACTATGTACAGAAATATTTTTAACTACGAATACAATATAGCATTTTTTGTTCCCAAGAAGGACCAATGCCAAACATGCGTATCGTTCCAAAATTCAAACGAAGAAGAGAAAAAAACTTTCGAAGAAAACTATAAGAATCATATCGAAGAGAAAAACTTGAGTAGAGAGGAGAAAATTAAGGACAAAAGCAAAATCTCTCCGTTCTTTCAAGTTGCATGTTTTGATTTAGAGGCAACCCTTCCAACACCGAACGGGCAAGTATCTTCATTTTATTACAGGTCAAAGTTATCGACCTATAATTTTACTGTGTGCGATATAACACCGAAGGGGCAGGGTGCTGTCTACTGCTACATGTGGCATGAGGCTCAGGGAAAAAGAGGCGCAGTTGAGATTGGTACGTGTTTATTAAACTATTTGAAAGAAAAATCGGAAACTTCAGACTGCGATGACCTAGAAATAACGTTTTATTCCGATAACTGCGCTGGCCAGCAGAAGAATAAATTTGTTATTGCTGCTTTTCTTTATGCTGTCGCCAATTACAAAATAAAGTCGATAACTCACAAATATCTAGTCACGGGGCATACTCAAAATGAGGGTGACAATGTTCACTCTTTAATAGAGAAGAACATTAAACAAGCTTTAAAGTCTGGACCTATTAGTACACCGTCACAATACGTTGGTTTAGTTCAAACAGCCAAAAAAACCGGACCTCCATTTAAAGTAATCGAATTGGCACACGAAGACTTTTTAGACCTAAAAGAGTTAGCTGAGCGGACTTGTACAAATTTTACCAAAAATTCTTTTGGACAAAACTTTAAATTATCGGATGCTTCTGTAATTAGGGTAGAAAAAGAGAACTTGAATAGTTTTTTTTATAAAATTTCCTTTAAAGACATTAACTATAAAAGTGTCAAAATTAATAATGAAAGACGCACTAGAACACCTTTAAATATTGCTTCTTTGGTGAATTATAATTTGCAAAAAGCGTACACTGCTGCTTTACCGATTAGCAAAAAGAAATACGATGATCTTATGTTTCTATTGCGAACTAATGCTATTAATAAAACCCACAGTAATTTTTATGAAAGCTTAACGTTTTGTGAATAAAACCCCCCAAAATTGTTTGTTTAAGTAATATTTGTGTTATAAAAATGTTTGTGTTTTTGTATTCTATATAATAATAAAGTTTGTTTTAAACCTTGTGTTTATTTTAAATTTTCTAGCAATTTTAGTAAATATTTTTTAATGCAATGTCTAGATGTGCCATATTATTTTGATAAAAATAGGTCAAAACTGCAAATTAATGCTTAAGTCAATAGTGGCACATCTTACCAAAAATCAAGTTTAAAATCGAAAATAGGTTATACACATGGTTCACTCTTTACAAGACCGAAAAACTAGAAAGAAACTGTCGATAAACTTTAATTTTCTATTAGCACTCTTTAAATATCTTTGACAATAATATGGTCAATATTTATAATCTGAGTTTTCTCATAAATTGTCACTTTTGAATTGTGTCACTATTGTCGCCGGTGAGCGATGTGTATAACAAGAAAAAAAATATTGATAATATTAAAGACGTGGCAACATAGGCTGGATGAGGAAGGCTCGGTCGACTGTACCCAGAAGTAAACATGTGTACAAAAAAGAATGTTTGTCCGCGTTGAGATGTAAATAGTGTAGTCTATATTTTATTTTAAGTCTATGTGTGGATCCCTTTCAAGACGCTGGCTCACCCTGTATGCTACTGCTTGAAAGCGGAGAGATTTTCAGATTACCGAATTTGACTCTGCGAGAAAGTTTATTTCCGTGGCCGATAAAAGGAGGAATTTCTTTCCCTTTTCCTGCTTTATTCGCGTCGAATTAATTTTCAAAAGCGTCACTCCGGTTTCGTGGTGTTTCGCGCTCGTACCAGAGAACAATAATAATATAAATACTAGAGAATTGCTTCTAAATTATCTTATTTACATTTTGTCGTATCGCACTGCTTTGATAATACAAAACATATAACTGGGTATACTTAGAAGCATTTTATTTAACGGAACTGTGCAAATTTATTGTTCAAAAATTCCAAAAATCCAAACTGCCTTAAGACAGCAATAATTATTCCTCTGCATAAAGGAGGAGATAAAGATCAAGCTTCGAACTATTGCCCAATTGCTCCCCTGCCCACATTATCTAAGATCATTGAAAGATTGGTTAAAAAAAGACTTCTATCTTTTCTGCTTAAATATAAAGTACTTACTACCCATCAATTTGGATTTCTAAGCAACAGTTGCACAAATGATGTTATGTTCGACCTTTTTAATAATGTTTACTGTATCCTGAATAACCATCACTCTACAGCTACAATTTTCTGTGATTTCTCTAAGGCTTTCGACTGTGTAAATCATATCTTAATTAATAAATTGCAATACTATGGATTCAGGGGAGTGCCGCTCGAATGGCTTAAGTCATATCTTGGCAACATAAGGCAGCTTGTGAGGATTGATACGTCTATGTCTTCTTGTAAGTCTATAGAATGTGGTGTCCCTCAGGGGTTATCTTTTCGAAAAAAAGTATATCAAAAATATGCGGTTTACGATCGTGATTTTATTTTACTTGATAGGGAAAGGCGTACCGGCGAAATGTGGCAACGCCGCAATAGCAGTGGCATTTTCCTCACTCTGACTTAATAATACTCCTATGCGATTTACTTCCACACATGTAAATAAATAAATAAATGCCTTTATTGTCAAAAAATTTTACAATTTGTAGACAAAGGTGAAGTAAACAAACAAAGTAAACAAACAAACAAAAGAGAATACAAAACATTATACAAATTATATTGTCAGTCTTATTATTTAAAATAAGCATTTATAAATGTTCACAATGTCAAAGAATAAAAAAATAAAAATTAGATTCAAAAATATTTAGTAAGTTTATAGTATATATCAATGACCTCTAAATAAATTTATTTTGATGTCATTGGTAAATATATTAATAGCAAACATTAGACCAGTGTTTATAAGATCAAATTCGATTATCAAAATATAAGTCATTTACGGCGTAGAAAGCCTTGTCTAGTAAATAAGATTTCAATGCTTTGCGAAATGAAGAAAATGATGTTATGGATTTGATTTCAAATGGCAGGTGATTTTGAATTTTTTTCGATTTGTATAATATTGAACTTTTAACTAACTCTGAGCGTGGGGTAGGTAAATAAAGATCTTGCTCCGCATTCCTGTGTGGATAAGTGTGAGATGGCCTTTCTTGAGAAGCTGAAACATGCTTACGTATTAGGCAAACGGATTCAAATATAAATAAGGAAGGAAGAGTTAATATTTTTAATTTTTTAAAAAAGTCCTGGTAATGAGTTCTGCTGTTTAGTCCCAGTGAATATCGAACAGCTCTCTTCTGGAGCTTGAAAATGCGGTCAAGTTGAGTCGCACAACACGTACCCCAGAATGGAAGGGCATATCTGAGGTGCGACTCAAAAAGTGCATAATAAACAGTTCTATTAGTATAGATTACTACAAAATTCAATTTTTCCTAAACGTCAATTCAACTCCCATATCGGAAATTCCAAAGTCAGAACTCGACATCTTCTATTATAAAGTTGCATAATTTTTCAGTGGAGCATCGCCTATTAAGCTGCGGCCCTATTAAATTCTCAAGATAACTAAGCCTCACTACAATTACCCCTAATAGCCGCTCGCGACCTGGAGAATGTCGACCTATCCCATAATTACATATTGATTCGTCGCGGACTCGCATCTCCCTACCGAAAGGGCTCCTCGGTCGGGAGCGAAGCTGGGAACCACGTGTGCAGGCTTGCTGATGAAGCTCGTTATTTTCCACATATACTCTATCTCGGAACGGTGGCTTGCGGATCGAATTTTCCTCTCTCGTTCGGTGTTTAGATTATTATGTATAATACGTTTTTCAAATCGTGAAGAGTAAAAGCGTGTAGTACGCAGTGCTGCAATTTTACAGAAAACTTAAGGGTGTATTCCGTTGCTTACCTTGGTTATGGTTTATGTTCCGTTTCTATCGGTTTCCTGAAAGTTTTCTTATTACGGAACACGGTTCCTGAAAAATTTGGTTACTTATAACTGTCACCAAACTAACCAGCGCGAGAAGGCTGGGGTTTCTGGTTTTGTTTGTCAATCAATGTCATTTATGTGAGAGAAATCAAGCAAATATTGGAAGTTCGAGTGAAATTCTCATTTAATTTCTAAAATTTGTTATAATATTTTGTATTTACATCCAAAAGCAATGGAGCTAGGCAGTAAAGGTAAATAAATTTTATTAACTAAATAGAATTACTTTTTAGGACAGTTTAAACTTATCATGCAGCCATTGTTTCTTAAAGCCAGGAACATTAAAGAAAACATGAAAATCAAGACAAAAAGTAATCGTGAATGTTTTGTAAGCTATAAAAAAATCAATATTTATTAGATTTGTTTATTTATTATAGATCTGTTTTAATATTGGACCTGCAAATCTTCACTTGAGCTGTTTAACGAGTTTAACAGTTTATTAATGAAGTACTTTTAAATATTAAACTCCATTGAAAACAAGAAGCAAACGTAAAAGCAGAGAATAGGTACATTATTAATGCATGAAAAATAAATTTTATAATAGAGGTATTGAAATTTAGAAAACCTCAACATTTGACGTTTCCAGTATTTTACCAAACCGTTCCGTATCAAACCGATGTTTTTCAGGAACCGTTCTTTACCGTAGTTTACCGATCTGGTTCGCCTGGTTTTGCAATAGAATACAGCCTTAAGTTTTTTTCAAAATGCTTTGTGATTTAAATTATGAATTATGAAGTATGACATTTTATTAAGTTAAACTTTATTCCGAAATAGATAAACATTTAAATATTTTTAATATCTTATATTATTGTTCTACTTATGAGGTTATTTGAATCCTAAATCTACCCAAAATTTTGAACACTATACCAAAATAATGCTTGAATTATGTAATGAATATTTTTGTAAATCCAAATGGTGGCTTACTGAATGGCGATTATACTCCAAATCTCAGTAATAAATTTAAAAAAAGTAACATTGTCTATAAATTTTAGTTATACATATAAGATCGCTCTAAGATTGGATATTACGTTTTAGCTAAATTTAGTTTTTAAAAAGGAATTTCTATGTTATTGGGCAATTTTAAACAGCATCAAATTTGTGATATTTAAATTGCCACAATAGATATGAAGATATATTTTTAATATTCATAATTTATAAATAAATGAAACACCTTTTATTATAAAATTTACAACTATTATTTTCTACTGAACTATCAAAATATTTTGGAAACTATTAAATACTACTATTCACCAGATGCATTATATTATAAAAAACTTGACAGTTACTTAACGAGTTAACTATAAGAAGCCGAAGTCTTGAATGAAAAATTAATAGAAATTTCCACAACTTTGTGTGACGGTAAACTTGAATTTGCGAACATTATTAATATTTCAGGTTTTTGAACCTCCAGTCACGCACGTTTATTTATAGTATTTTCAGCAAAAGTTTACCCCAACTTTCCAAACTCTGACCATCACGTAAAAGTGTCTAACTTTAGAAGAAACCTTATTTCTTATTTAAAATATGATTGACAGAAACACTTCCTTTCTCCATTTTCTGTCTTATTTTTGGGAATAATAAAATAGGCAATGATCGATAGAATCGAGAGATGTGGTAAATTATTTTTTAATCTTTATACCAGTCATATAATATGTTATGTTTTGAAGCAGCTATAAAAAGTATGAACCATATATTATGTATTGAGAAAAACATGGGGTCTTGTGCAGAACAGGTCCCCACGAAATCGTGGTTTTTTTAATTTTTCCCGGATTTGTTCAGTAAGATTCCGAAATCGATGTGATCTGCGTACTTCCAAACACTCCCCACCAACCTAAACTAACCAATGCATTAACACCCCCAAATAACCAGGCTAACCAATGCATTAACACCCTCCAAATAACCAGACTAACCAATGCATTACCACCCTCCAAATAACCAGAATATCTAACCTAACCTAACCAATGCATTAACACCCCCAAATAACCAGGCTAACCAATGCATTAACACCCTCCAAATCACCAGGCTAACCAATGCATTAACACCCTCCAAATAATCAGGCTAACCAATGCATTACCACCCTCCAAATAACCAGCCTATCTAACCTAACCTAACCAATGCATTAACACCCCCAA